ATGAACGGCTTCTGCCCAAAATTTCTTATCAAGTTTTGCCTCAAAAAGCAAACATCTGCCTTTTTCAACAACAGTTCTGTTGGCCCTCTCGCTGACACCATTCTGCTCAGGGGCATATGCAGTAGTCCTTTGATGAATTATACCTTCATTTGCCAAAAAATTGTCTATAGCACCATTACAAAATTCACCTCCGTTGTCAGTTCGAAGTATCTTGATTTTTCTGTTTTGTTGGTTCTCAACCATAGTTTTAAAATCCTTAAATCGTTGAAAAACTTCATTTTTTTGTTTGAGAAAATAAATGAATGTCATCTTACTGTAGTCATCCACAAGAAGCAAGAAGAATCGTGAACCGCCAATTGACTTTGTCTCCATAGGCCCACATACATCTGCATGGACTAATTGTAGTGTCTCCGTGCTGGTATGTTCACTACGTGAGAATGGCAGCCTTGTTTGTTTGCCTTCACAACAGGTTATACAGTTCTCCTTCTTTGTGTCGCTAGGAGAAGAAAAATTCACTCCTTCTACAATGCCATTTCTCATTTTATTCAAATCACCACTATTGATATGTGCTAGGCGCCTATGCCATAACTCTGCACTTGCCAATGCTGGTGCTGCTAACATACAATCTGTTGTTTTTAAATTCAACTTGTAAACACCATTTATCAAATATGCAGTGGCTACTATATCATTCTTCATGTTTCGAATATAGCAATTGTTACTTTCAAACACAACTTTGTTGCCATTTTTTATAAGTTCACTCACTGACAACAGGTTTGTTGACAATTTTGGAATACACAACACATTCTTGACAGTAATCTCGTAGTTGCGATCTGTAGTTATTTTCACGTCCCCGGAGCACTTTACGGGTACCTTTGTATTATCGGCTACCGTAATTTCTGACATAACTGGCATAAAATTAGCGTTTTCTAGCCAATTTTCATTCGATGTCATGTGCGCACTCGCGCCGGAGTCAATATACCACTCACTTTTATTATACTGTCCACTCAAGAATACCACACTAAACGCATTCGTTTGTTTGTTTTTCTGCAATAACGGACATTGATTTCTAAAGTGCCCGATTTCTTTGCATTTGTAGCACACAATCACTTTTCTCGACTGCATTTTAGACGCCATAGAAGTTTTTTGTTGACAGCCATTTTTATTTGGAGCGTTGTGCCACGACTTCGAGAATGATCTATTTGCAGCGAATGCAGCGCCACTGGTGTCCAAATTTAAAGAAACTTCCAAATCGATCAATTTCGATTTTATAGAATCTGTGGTAATCTGTATTCCAGAATGTTCAATTGCCATGATCATAGGAGAATACTTTTCCGGCAAACCTGCTAATAACAATGATCCAATCCATTCATCTGTTATGGCGAACCCGGTTCCTTTCAATCTTTGTGCTGTCTCGACGACTTGCGTTACATAATTAGTCATAGAATCACAGTTTTCTTGCCTGATTGAAATCAAATGTCGCAGCAAAGAGATTTTTCTTGAAAAACCTGAGTCATCAAACATATTTTTCAGCTTTGTCCACAGCTCAAACGAGGTTTTCGTTTCCTTGATATGAACATACAGCCCTGAATCTATGGTTAATATTAACTTTGCCTTAGTCCTTTCATCGTCTGCAGTCTTTGTTTCTGCACCGGGCACAGGCGTCTTGATGTACTGGATCATGCCCTCTAGCACTAACAAATTTTCTGCCGCGAAACTCCACTCGTCATAATTTTCCCTCCCTTTCAGTTTGGGAACACTTTGTATATAGTTTGAAGCCATTATCTACACAAAAGTTTAGCGTTTTTCTTAAACTGTAATACCAATTACTTAAGAAAATCAGGACATTAGCCCATAACCTATTAATACACGCTCTTTTGGTTAACGACTGACGTTTTATTTTTTGCATCAAAGACATTACACAAATAAAACAAAGATGGCGCTACTGGTCTTACAGAAACATTTTGGTATACAATTATAACAAGAGTGCCTGTAAAGTATGTAGAATAGATTCGTGCTATGTACAGAGAGTCTAGCACTCATGTAAGGTCGGTCACGGGAAACACTGATCAATTCAGTGTCTCTGTAGGCTTGCACCAGAGATCAGCTCTGAGCCCATACCTCTTCCTGTTGATAATGGATGCTCTGACATCGGACATACAGGAGGAGGCACCTTGGTGCATGCTATTTGCAGATGACATTGTGTTGGTCGGTGAAGATGGGGTTGAGGTCCAGAGCAGACTGGAAAAATGGCAGCAAAGGCTGGAGAATGTTGGCTTTAAAATCAGCAGAACCAAAACTGAGTACATGTTCTGTGATTTCGGCGATCTCTCCAGTCCTGAAACCATTTCGCTGGATGGGATAGCGATAACAGTCTGCTCCAATTTCAAGTACCTCGGCTCCCTCTTACAATGTGATGGTAAGATTGATCGCACTGTACAGCATCGAACATACATACTGCGCCGACCCCAAATAAAATTGGGAAAAGGGTAGGCAGATGAGATGATAATACAATATATGATGAATTACATACTGTATTATGACAAGGTACTAGTATTAAATATTTATACATGTAGAATTAATTTAGGATAATTTGTTAGGATAGTTTGTATTTAAACAAGATAGCTAGTTTTCCGATACTTAAATTCTTAAGTTCTAGGATAAATAGGTGTAATTCTAAGTTAGATATAATTAATTTAGACGCTTGAGAATAAGCTCATAGCTAAGTATAATTTATACTGTAAGTATAAATTATACTTAGCTATTTATTTTATATTTAAGTGACTGTGATTTCATTTCTATTTATTTCTGAATATTATTGGGTTCGACTCCCGAAAAGGAAAATTTTATATGTAATGTTAACAATATAACTAAGATTAACGCGCATATTGTGTACATGCTATCGCTTTAATTTAAATAAATTTGCAAAGGTTATTGGGTTCGACTCCCACATAGACATCCTGTATATTTAAAGAACGACATAACACAAAATAACGATTAACACTATATTTAATCGCGTGTATCGTGTATCTAGATTTCAATTATTTTAATTATAGGGGTTATTGGGTTCGATTCCCAGACAGACATTCTATTTTTGATAAGAATTACAAAAACACAAATAGAGATTAAAACTAGGTGTGTGTGATCGCGTATACTTTTCATTTAAACTTAATCGTAGGGGTTACTTGTTGCGACAGTCAGACATAAAATTAAGTAGGTATGTGTGATTACAAAACACAGAAATGGATTGATACTATGTGAGTGCAATTGCGCGTACATTGTACTCAGCTTTCATTGAGTATCTAACGTTAAATGGAATTATTTTATTGGGTTCCACACCAGGCAGACTAATTTAATAGGTGTAATGTTAAAAGATCAACAAACGTTTTATAATCATTTTGTAAGGGGGGAATGGCATTTACTGTGTATTCCAATTTATTTTCTTAGTTTATTTCTATATTTCTGTTGGGTTCGATTCCCAGTCAGATACGTTTTACATGTAGGCATTACAATAGATATCATCGGACGTACAATACTCGTAATTTGTGGGGGGAATAGAATGTACTGTACCATGAACAGATCTATTACTTGGTATAACTTACTGAGTTCAATACTCAGGAGAAAAAAAAAGGTAATTGTGCCTAGCGGAATACACTTGTATAAACAATAGATTATTTTGTTGCGTGTCGGAAATATGCAGTCAAGTTAAACACGTGGTAAGGGTCGATCGGAAACACAATACAATGAGTATTGTGTTTTTAAAGACAATGCTGTACCCGTTGCAGGTGGGAACAGAAATAAAAAATGCGTTTTAAAATTATTTAACGTTACAATCGTATATTGTGGTAGGGAAAGGACTGCGTTAATTGTTGTGGTATTTAATGCGACAAATCAAGCATCATTTTTTAGATAATAAACTGCTAAGTTGATAATTTTCACAAGTGAGTTGCATATAATTATAGTTAAACATGTTTCATAAATTCACCAAGAATTTATAAAAGTTAGTCAGAGTCAAGTATTCGGCTGTTCAACATATCGGAACAACTAATGTTAAATGATGATGATGTTGTTGATCTAGTCAGTAGTCGAAGGTTAATAAAAGGGAGATATCACAAACAATTTATTTTTGAATGGGATTTGTTGTGGTCCTACCGTATTGATTGGGATTGTTGAGATCTTACCGGGTTCGATTCCTGACCAAAATAGAGTAGTTTACTTAGTTTTACTCTTGTGAGTAATGCAATTAACTTTAAACTAGCACACTTACACAACCAGCTTAAGATTCCTTGTAAAGAAAAATATACTTAATGAAACGTAAAATATAGTTAAAGCCAATATTTGTACATTAATAAAATATAACCAGCGAGGAAAGTATACATAGGTAACAGTTTATTCTTTGATTCGACAGTCATCGTAATCAATTACTGGGTTCAATTACCGAGCTAAATCATGTAGCTGAAATTGTAAGGCTGTTTATACCTTTAGTTAATTCTATAGGCAACACGTTTGAATTATAAACAATTATGTAAGGAAGTACAGTAGACATTTATTAGACACAAACATTTTGTGTCCATAATGGCCAGCCTCGAAGAGGCCACGTCCGCATGTGCTGGACGTCGCCTAAGTAGAATATGTACCCGAAGGTAGTGCCCGCGCTATTACGCACAGGCGCTAGTAGGAGTCCGGATATCTTAATAACAGCTGTTCCCGGACCCTTCTTATTTACGAGCAGTCGCACATCGTGTGGTTTTTGTCGGTTCGATTCCGACAGCGCCCTACCGAAAAGTCCCAGTGTGGTGACGGCCGGAGGAGTTTCCACACTTAAAAAAAAAAGACTGTACCACTAGCGTAGTGGTGATTGTTTCTTATGCCACAATGGAACTTTGGGAAATTTATCGCTTCCCATTGGTGAAGTGGAGAAAGGATTTATATGTACAAGTTTAATCTCTAAGTTAAAAAAAATAAATCTTAATAATACATTTTCATTGGTTACAGCTATCAAGATGAGGATTATATGTTTCCCGAAACTCGTTCAATCTGAAGAATCTAAACCGCACACCTTGAAAAACTGTGCCCTGGTCATTGATGGGCAAAATTTCTTTTATTCAATTAATCAAGATAGCAAACCTCCCCACTTATTTGGTATTGAGACTAATGAACATGCCAAACGTGTAAGAAAACTTCTCTATATGTTTAAAAATTCGAACGTCGAATGTTATGTTGTATTTAAAGGTGGCAACACTGATGTAGAAAAAAAAATAACGAAACTAAAAGCAAAACTTGGAAGTCAATATTGTCCGGAAGAAGTTTTTTCTGTATTCGCCAAAGATGTATGCAAGCAAGTGCTTAAAGAAGTCGGTGTTAAGTACGCAACATGTGTGTTTGAATCGAAAGAAGATTGTGTCGCATTAGCTCAAGCTTTAAATTGCTCAGTTTTAAGCGATGACATAGATTTTTGTTTTAAGGGTGCGCCCTATATACCGTCGACGACTTTGAAATACTCAACCCAATCGAAACAGATCACCTGCAAACAATACCACATTAAAGATTTCATGCAAAAATATTCGATAACTAACAAAAAACTTGCAATATTTGCAGCTCTATCAGATGTAAATGTTTTCGAACACAATCATTTCAATAATCTATTGCTAAAGTGGAATGTTTCTGATCGCAATATGTACTTACAGATAAAAAAAAAACTTAAATGGCTTTCAGAACATAGCGAAGAGGAGTCTTTGAACAGTATTTTGGAATTCCTAAATAACGAAGATGAGAAAGAGAAGTTTCTGAGTCAGATGCAAAATATATTAAAAAGCATGAATGAGAATTCCTCGTCAGTTGTGGCGGCCTACCTGTTGAATAGAAGTGGCAATAATAATGACCTCAGTGTATCCTTTCGTGACCCTCAGTGGTTCGAAAAAGGAGTCGCTGCCCAGAAAATTCCTATTCAGTACATCAACTTGTACACTCATAAATGTATTATAGGCTCCTGGGCAGATACCAAATCGAAAAACGCTAATAACGTACTTCTATTCTCGGCGGACATAATAAAATATGCTCACAACTTGTTGACTAATTATAAATTAACTGAAATTACTGTTTACCATGATGGCTTCCTGAAAATCAAGACTGAAGATAAAATCAGGAAAGCATACAAGTGCTCAGAATCTGTGTTTGAAAATGGATGGAAAAACATAAGGCACTTGAAATTATTTGAACATTTTTTGTTAACAAATAATATAAATACAGATTTTGTAAAAGACATACCAGTGGAAGCGAGAATGTTATTCATTACTTTGGCATATTTCACTCGCAAGAAGACACAGATGAACCTACCGGTGACAAAGGAAGTATACTGTTTTATTGTGTCATATATTATACATTTTGCATCTAAAAAAAAAGATTCCCCTAGGAAGAAAAATAGTAAAATAAATCAAAATGATTGCGTTGCTGCAATACTCGCGACTAAGAAATATTTTACTTGGACACCGGACGTGATCGACAATGTAGCATTTAACACATTGTATGAATTACAGTATTGTTTACTGCACATGAACTATTTGAATACATTATGTGGATCACCGTTCATGACAACGAAATACCACGAAACGTTCAATGGTACCTTTATATACAAACTGTTAAAGGATATGGACGGTGGCGATGAAAAAGAATTCATCGCAGAACTGTTTAAAACAGCGCCATCTGTTTTAACATTTGTTAGCAAGCTGATAAGCACATACGAGAAGCTTCTTAAAGGGACAGACTAAAATATATTATACTAGCTTTGCCCTCGGCACCGTCCGCGTGTATGTCGGAAATCGCCTTAAGAATCAAACTATCTCCATACCAAATATGTCAAAATTTATTGTGAGCTAACTAGCAAAGAAAACTTTTATCATTAGTTATAAAATGAATATAGATAATTAGGGATAAGGACAATTTTATAGACAGTTTGAGGAGTGCAAAGGAGACTGACCTCACAGAGGAGATAATACGGTCAGCGATGTGAGAAATATGTAGATATGTAGCTGATCTGTTGGTACTAGACCAATTCCAATCAAAAATTGGGATATACTAGACCTGCCAGAGAAAGACTGCAAAGGCCTAATCTGCAATTGGGCCTATTGGTCGTGTTCGTTAGGGATCCTGACTACCAAGCCAAAGATCGAGGGTTTGATTCCAACCCAGGACATATTGTGTGATGAACAGTATCATTTTGTTCTGTGTCTAGGTGCAGTTTAATAATATGTATGTATTAAGAAATGTAAAAGCATGTTTAGCAGCAGTCTGTTTGTTGTAGTACAGGTTCTGTCTAGATTGAGATCAGACAGTTGTGTCTAAGATTTATATAGCTATTATAATTGTTATATGCATGTGGAGTAGAAACATCGAGTTCTATATTTTGATGTATCATTGGTAGGAAGTAAGTAGACATGTGACAAACAAACAGTGAACTGTGATTTATCATTCGATTTATTTGAACGTAGGTTAGGGTTGCTACTTACTCACGCGTGAATAAGCTGTTTTAGTAATCATTTTTTCATTCTTATTTTCATTTTCATTTCAGTAATCAGTAGGAAATCTAGTTATTTTTTTAATTATTAGTTATGAGTTACTGTTACATAAATGTCCCATGTCTAGAAGTTGGCACTTATCAATCACTTTCTATAAACCTTTAATATTTTTCTAATTTGTATGCCCACTATGACTATCAATGAAGACCAAAGGAAGATTATTAGTTGACGAAAGAACTATTCGTAAGTACCGATTGTAATTTAATTTGTAAGGCAGAGAAGACAAACACATAATCACAAGAAATATTAATTCTTAGTTTATATTTTATACATAAATAAAAGATATAATGTAATAGTTTTCTTTCTTTAAACACCATTTAATAAGTAAATTCATGACATTTTCGATAGCGTATTTTTTTTATATGGGACTAATCCCGCCCACATGCCCACCACTGTAACTCCTGTACACCAGGATCCACAGCAGTGACCCACGAACACACCGAGTTATGACACTCGGGAAGTCCCAGGAAGAAATTAAACTGTCTTGGAACCCGCAACGAAATTAATCAGAAGAAAATTGGAGGAGTTGGAAATACAGTAAATCCACTTCCTTCCTTAGCAAAGCGGGAGACAAAATGAAATAAAATGGGCGTATGCCCATTTTATTTCATTAGGGTAATAAGGGTGTATACCCTTTTAAACAGGGAAGCACCACGGCCACGAAATATTACGGGTCCTACGTGAGCTATATTTGATTTCTATAATATGTATGGCAGAATCGCCTAAACGCACGTATTAAGGTTTTTTTTTAATAAAGGTTTAATGGAGGGCAGAGATAAAAACAGCCAGCCAAGTCTCTTAATTAATTAGTTAATTTATACCCGTTCTTAACAAGTAATATCTTCATTGTTTTTCAAAGGATTTTGTTTTTTAACTGACTTCAAGGCTTTACCTAAGAGTAATAACTCTTAGACACAGCGCCCACCATCGGCAGGGAATGGCAGGTCAAGACTGGCAAGGTACACCTCGGCATACCTCGCAAGTCTTCGGCAATGTAAGGCATACCTAAGGACGTCTCGGTATACCTCGGAAGTCTTCGGAAGCCAATCCAAGCCCTCGGCTAGTTTCGGTGGTTTGACACCAAGTCAAAACTAGGAACATTGCTGGGCATTCTTAAGCACACCTCGCGGCCTCGGCATGCCGGAGAACTCCTCGGTATTCCCAAACGCACCTCGGTATATAGCTGAGGTATATCTTGAGCAATAAAGAAGGTCAGTGTGCGCCAGTGCGTAGGCATAACGAAGAATCAACCGCCATGCCGTAAAACGCGGGCGCCGGGCCTTAAACTAACAGACCTAAAATAGCTCTAATACATTCCCTTACCTCCTAATTCCGTAATACATACATTTACACTATACTAAAACGATAATTTGATTGCGGGGATGGCGTGTTTAAGTGTTTAGGTTTAAGTGGTTTAAGCGGTCGCCACGCCACTTCTTACAAGGCTATGTGTTGTGGGTTCGATCCACACATGGGACGACACTGTGTGATCCACAAATTGTCGTTCTGAGTCCTGGGTGTTCTTTGTGTACGCTTCATATATGTTTGTAAAGTCCTTCGCGACACAGGATGTATTCCTAGTGCGGGAGTTCTTTTCAAAAACAAAAATATTTTTTTTAGTAAACAGTTTGTGCGAGAGAGGAGAAAATGTATATTTGATTCCTACAAAAATTAGGATACCTATGACAATGAAAAAGTCTTAATGAAAAATAAAATAGACGACAAATATTCCAGAGGTTTTTTGACCTGTTGTCAGCGTAATTAATGTAAGAATTGTTTAATAGGTAGGTACTGGCGAAGCGGTGGCATCTCTGGTCACTCCGGTCCGGTGAAAAGTACCGGAACAGCAGAATAATTCGCTAGGGATGCATTTTTCGGAAATACGGTAAAGACAAATTCACAGGAATCTATCTTTTATCTATCCATTGGTGACCTTTGAAGGTTATCTCAAGGGTCAAGGGTAATTTTCAAATGGGATTGTATATTTTTAAATCCGGAATTGAAAAGAGAAGAAAAAATTACAATTGGATACGACCTTCAGTGCGCAAATTTTTACCTCTAAAGGTCACCAATCCAAGGTCAAACACACACCATGGGGTTGCCCCATTCCTGTTGATAACACCGCAATAAAGTCGCATTTGTGTCGATCTACTTGAAATGGTCGTTTACCGACAATTTCAAGTCGATCGACACATGATTTGCCACATTACCTATTTTAAAGAAAAAATATTGCGTGATCAAATGAATGGTGCGTATATGATTACCGTCACACGACTAATAACGTGTGTTTTACAGATTTAATTCAAAACTTAATAAATTTGTGAATAAAAATTACGTTAACTAAAGTCCTCACTTCCTGTTCACAAACAACACTGCTGAAATCAGTCACAAACGACTTAAAGAAAATATTAAAAAAAAAATAGTTTTAAAAAACTAAAAAATAAAAAACAATTTTAATAAATTTGGAAAAAAACTTTGGGTGCCTGTTGTCAATTGTAAAAAGCACCCCACGCTTTTTTTTTAATTATTAAAATTTATTTTCTATTTTTTAGTTTGGTTTTCTGTAAGAGGCGTGTTTTTTAGTTTTTTAAAACTATTATTTTTATTAATATTTTTTTTTATTAGTGTATTGTCATCGGTCCTCGATATATCTACAAAGTCTGAACGAATTCTGTCCGTTTAAAGTCAGTCAAAATCAAGCGCCAACGGAGTCGGTTACAAACAAACATACAAGTAAAGCTAATATAAAGCGAAAAGATAAAAGATCGATTCGATCGTCGATCTCTAATGTCCGTTTGGATTTGTCCGTTTCTGTTTCTGTTGGGATCTCAGGATTGAGGAGCCAAATAAAATGCGTTTATTAACTAAACCCATTCATTTTTACTATTTTCTCCTGATTCTACAATTTCAAGCACACTACCTACTAAATATTTTTGGAGTGGAAATTGACATATTACTTTCATGGCTATTCACGCTCTTAAATATAGATTGACGAGCCACATTTAAAGTATTGTATATTCTTAAATATCAACAGTTATGGATTCACGTTTTAGTAGGCTCTAAACACAATTACTACAAAATGATACAAGATTTTCAAAAATATTTATTAAATACTTTACGTGTTCTAGGTGGCTCCTAAATTTAAATGTTTAGATTGAGGAGCCAATTTTACATTGATGTAACTTTAGATACTTTTTCTTACTACAAATTTTCAGAATTTGTCCGACAAAATTATTTGCTCACCTACTAAATAAGGGGGAGTTTCTCTAGCGTGGTGTCATCACAGAGGAACAGGATCTTCCTCGTCGTTACACCGGGGAAACCTGCGGTCTATGTGGAACTCACGGAGGAAGCTCATAAATACGAACAAAATTGATGGACAGTTTTGATTTACAAATCAATCCATACTTACCTAAGATTAATCTGTATATGATGTGGACTGCTGAGGAGCACATTTATCGTCTGAGTTTATACTAATACTTATTAGAACGAAGTTCCTTATCGGACTTTACACGCTCTGAGCGGAACGGAGCGACAACAAAAAATGTGTTACAAGACTGTTTTTCCGACACTAAGTTTAAAGCAAACTGTATACCAAACGTGTACCAAAAAGCGAAAGGAACTTCGTTCCGACCGGGGTTCCATAGACCTCTTACGCTGGTTTTATCTATACTGCCTATGTGTTTTAAAATAATGACTATGTTACTTTAGTAAATGACTAAATAAGGAACAAACGGCTAGTAATTGTGTCAAGCTATTGTTTTATCATCTCGCTGAATCTGTATTTATGCTCCTCAGACCTTTTCTACGAACACGAAGTCTCGGTCACAAGTCGAGCGTGGGTCTGTCTAGCTTATTTCGGACGTGAAAATAAAACTATACTATGCATAAATACCCAAGTAGGTATTTAATAAGAAATAATCAGTCTTACTTTGGAAAACTTAAACGGCTCATTCATTGAGAGCATCAAATAGGAACTTGAGAAATACTTTTACTTGTCACCATTTGCCTGATCTTTCACTTCCTTACGGACTGGTCCCGTTTGCATAATGGGAATATGGCGTTCACCCTCAACCGCTGGTGGCACCTTTCTCGGGGCAGTGACAATCAACACACCATCAGACGAGAGCCGCGACTCCACAGTCTCAGGAGCGCACCCTTCAGGCAAAGCGTAGCGACGAGTGAACTGCCGGGAAATAAAGCCATGTTGGTCCTTTTTTTCTTCATGCTTGCCCTCGATAACAATGAACCCATCCGCAGTCTTCACACTAATTTCCTCCGGGGTAAAATGCTGTACATCGAGGTTTACTTGAAATTTTTCTTTGTCAGTCTTAATGCTCGAGCCGAGATCGCGAGTAGCGGCAGCCATATGACGCCAGGGTCGGTAGTATTCCCTATTCAACAATGGGCCGCCCGCAGCAATTGTAAGAAGATCATCAGGGGTAAACCCCAAGCCGAAATGTTGGTCCAAAAGTCGCCGGGGACGCTCGAACTCATAGTCAAACAAGTACGGAAGCAACGACATCTTACTCGAAATAATTGGCAATTAAAACACTGGTTTAATATTTAACAGAGAATTATTTTTCAAGACACCGCGTAAACTCACTTCTTACTCGTATTCAACTATTCACTGAACATGCGCGATGAGCATTACACTGGCGCCATCTAGTAGAATTGTGTAGAACTTTCCTGATGCCAGGGACGGTGAACTAATCGGTCGCTTTATTAAATTTTAATAATTGTTACTACTTTTGTTGTTTCAATTTTGAAATTCATCATTAATTTTGAAAACCTAGTACGTTCCGCATTGGCGAACATAACGGGCGGCGGTAGTAACTTCTCATTAGGTGACCCGTCTGCTCCTTTGCCCCTTAAATCATACAAAACACCGATTAAACAGGTTACTGTGTTAATTGAACTGACATACTTCGGATATACCAAATAGGAAAAATCCCAATCCTAATCAAAAATATGTTAGCAAGGATTTGAGTTCGTGACGCATCGCTATTATTTGAAAAGCGGAACCTTTTATAACCTAACCTGCTATTCTGGATAATGCTCGCTTCTAATGGCGATTTCTTTTCCGTGTGGATGGTTGCAGTTCTAACTCAACCTAACTTACTTTTCTGGGAGCATTTTGTTTCCAACGGGGTCGCCGGTGGCCTTAAACTTTAACAAAATAGGTACTAGCTTACTATACTACTTACAAAAATTGTTTTTTGTTATTTGTATGAGTATTACGTTTTTACTCTCTGGGTAATTTGATGTGCAATCAGTACATTTGATAAGAAATCAATACATTTTCGTACATTAACTGTACATAACAAATTACTGTTGATGTATATTTTCGAATTACTTCTAGTACTAGTTTTGTTTAACAATCGGTTTATTTACAGTGAAATAATTATTGGATGTAAAAAATATTTAATTGATGGGTTACTTATAAGTTCTTTGATGTGCATTTAAAAATATCCTTTGTAGTGCAACTGATTTACTGTGTGCTATTTATCCCTCAGGCCCACACGGCAGAACTATTATTTTGCTTTTGCTAAAGATACTAAACCATAATTAGAGGAGTGAAAAGTTGTTTAGTTATGTATACCATTATTTGAAGATATCTTATAAAAACTACTACGCAAAGTTGAAATGTTAAACAATTTTAGTACTTTTGTAGTTTGGATAGATGTTTGTAACTCCATCACGGCAGAAGTCGAAGATTAGTCTGAAATAGCCCTGAAAAAGTGATTATTTAACAAAACTAACACGTGCGAAGCTGAGGGCAAAAAGTTAGTTTCTTTTATGAAATATAAAATTAGAATAATAATTATACAATATTTAAAACTTACGAGGAACAGCTTTTTAAGCATATTTTGAAGAATGTAACACATTGATGATTGATTATTGAGCCATCAAAGAAAATCAAACTATTTTAAAACTATTTACTTATTTAATAGTAGTAACTATGTAGGGCAGTAAGTTTTTTCCTAAGTGTTGCAAGCATTTTTCTAATGACCCCAAGTTTAGCTTTCCTGAAAAGAACTTTATCGAACGGTGTAGAACATAGTTCGGCTTGATGAGGGACGTTCTTGCAAAACAATCGAAGTCCGATGGTCGAGAAATTTCTAAATTTCCCTGCATATTCCACCATCTAGCGACAAATAGTAAAACTAAAAATGTTTAAAAGTATAGTTAATTTCTTGGCGATTCATAAAAGTGCCACAAGATGGCCGTGATTTCAAAGTTATGTTTTTAACTTGGTTCATTCACAAGATGTTTTTGTGTTACCGTCGGCAATAATAACTACTTAGATTTATTATTTATATGTAATAATCTTAGAATAACTAGTTCTACATAGTTTTCGATACATATTTGTTATTTATTATTTTATGAATATTTTTATGTATTTTGGTAAGTAATTTGCACATTTATTTCAGATAGCAACATCTGTTCTTCTAGACAGTGTTGCGCATTCGATATTTTTATGTCGATATATCTCATTAAATTCTATTAGTTTGTAGTTATTCTGGTGTTTATCAATGCTTTCGTTTATAGGTCTTTATGAGATTTACGCTGTTTGTTTGAAAATGTCAGAAGAATTGTAAAAACTAAAAATACAATCTAGAAGTTCATGTAAGTAATAACAAGAGTAAGCACACGAAACTAACCTCTAGTTGGTGGCTTTAAGAGTCATTTCAGAAGACAAGAGCTTCGACCAGCTTATTACGAAGAAGTTTTTTAAAAAAATATTTTAATAAGTGCAATACGCGTAATATTATAGATTCTCTCTCTTTACATTTTACTACCCAATGTCTTAATGCCTGTACCCATTGCTGATTAAATTCTAACTATTCCAGTTATATCCAGGTACATTATGTTCCAGGTACATTGGAAGTTTGTGGCAAACACTTGAGATTGCTGGCGCTCCTTGTACTTGGTTTCCATTTTTTCCTCAAACATATAATGTCGCTAACACTTTTACAGGGACAGGGGCAACAATTAAGTATGCATAAATCTACTGTTTAGCTGGAGAAAGCATAAGAGAGTAGAGCAAATTTAAGTATTTGAATACCGTCGTTGTAGCGACTTCCACTTCAGCCCCGACTTATTGGGACTAACGGAATACAGTTTCGAGTTAAAAGAACCAGCAGGACGCAGTTCCGAGACACTGTTACTAGCTTACAGTAGGTACATTTCCGACTTACTAAAACTACTCCCTACTATCATTGGCATACACAGCTGACTAATCAAGATATCGACCTCCAGACTTGGAGGAGAAGAATATGGCAACTTCCACGTACAACAACTAACATACTTTATCACCATCTAGCAAAGAAACGCCGAACATTTATGTCCACTGACCCTGTGTCGCCTGTCGGTCTGTAACAAAATACAGCGTAAGCATAATTCTTCTAAGTTCTAGCTATTCCTACCTCTCCCATAGTTTTAAATGGTTATATGTCAAAGGCCTATACAAAGTACACTTAGTGGTAATAAAACATTTTATGTAAAACTAGCTGACCCGCGCAACTTCGTATGCGTCTCTCAACAGTAATAAATTTTCTCCGTTTTTGAAACATTCTTCATTGGTGCTCCGCTCCTATTGGTCTTAGCGTGATGATATATAGCCTATAGCCTTCCTCGATAAATGGGCTATCTAACACTGAAAGAATTTTTCAAATCGGACCAGTAGTTCCTGAGATTAGCGCGTTCAAACAAACAAACAAACAAACAAACAAACAAACTCTTCAGCTTTATAATATTAGTATAGATTTACTGATGCTTTATTTAAAAACTTGCCAATGTATTTTTGAAAAGTGCCCTGCCTAGTTATCGTCTTCGTTTAATATTTGTGTAGCTCAAGGAGCTTTCCTTGAAAATAGTATCTAGTAAAATCATTTCATTGTTCAAATCTGGGGACATATTTAATTAATAAAAAAAAAAGAAATTCTTAAAACATATCTTCAAGCAGTCTTTCTTGTATTTGTCCTTTCTTGTATTTGTCTATAGGATCGGGAGTCTACCTACTCGTGGGGAGCTGGTTTACTCAAAGTTAGGCAGGATTGCAGACATTTAGAGATCATTCAGATGTTCAGATTGTCTATAGAATCTACGTCTTTTCTGTATAGACATACACTGTAAGAATTACATTATTACATACTCTAAAATAAGAATCGATAAACTAAGTTATCGAAATACCCCCACTCTAAGAGCCGCTTCGCAGTACAGTAGTCGCCCGGTTAACTTGAGTTGACGTATTTATAATTTGCACTCGCTTGGCGATACTGTGTAGCGAAACTGCGTTGTGGTAATTTTTAAGTGTTTCCTAAGCTTTCAAGAATTACCTAGTGCATAATTTTCCCAAAACTTTTATATTTCTTACTTTATTAGTACTTAAGTGAACAGTGGAAACGGTAATCTTTTAAACTCTCGTTAAGTTGTCGATGTGATCCTTGTTTTTGTGATTTTACTTGTGTTACGATGGCTGATAATTTAAAATTGACCGACGAGGAGAGGACTGAAATCAAGGAGCAATTTGAACAGGTATTTTTACAAATTTAATACAAATACAAATGGAATATAATGTAAATGGAAACTGATTTGCCGGCGAATCGGCATTTTTAATTTGAGCTTCTACTTAGAAGTATACATAAATATATTTTGCTATATACCGAATATATTTTGCCGTGTAAGGTATGCTTGCGTACGGGTTTTTGTTGTAGGTATGTATTACGCGAGGCCGCGTGTGGTCTGCCTTGGTCTGTTCAATTCTTACGATGCTACCAGCACTTCACGAATTCCATTGTTTTATCTGAGGTTTTTGCATATATTTTAGTATTTACACAGTTTCGTTATCTAAAATGACTCCTCGAAATTATATTTAGAGATACCTGATCGATTTTACTTGTGTTATGCCCTCATATATGTTATCGATTTTTATCACGTGAATTACTGTGACACGAGTATCGGCAACTAATACTATCTTTATTGATAAATGCATATAAAACATTGATTAGTCTTTTTCCTTACTCCATTATGGATGGAATTAATCAAAAGTATAACTTTGAAAGACCAATATGTACATAACTATATCTAACTAATGATTGATCAAGTTATTTTAACTTGTAAAATGTCTTTATTAATAACATACTAGAATTTTTATAAACTCACAGCTCCAACATACTGGAAAAGTCTGCTGTTTCATGAACAAGCTTAATACCCTAAAAGTAGATATGATTGAGCAAAACACTGTAATTGATTTTAAAGGAATCTTGTTTAATTCATCCAGTCCACAATGATACACACATCTACCACCTGATCTAAGTATCACCCACTTCTAAAATGATGATTATGATTAGAAAGCTGTAGTCTACCAAATAACACTAGTTTACACAATTACATTTTTAATTACAATTTCCAGATGTGTTGCTGTTCTAATTACTTAATGTGTAAAGGTACAACATTAGCTGAATCTATTTGAAACATACCAGACATAATTGTCTGGATAGGTGATCTGAAATTATAGGGATAGGATACATATTTAATGTAAATATGTTTATTTATCAGCACTCCGGTTGCCATAGCACAGGCTCTGCCTAGTTTGGTGAAGTTTGTGTAAAGTTATTATTATTAGTACCATCCAGGTACTTAGCTTTGCTCAATTTTTTTTTAAATGAAACCTAGCTAGATCAATTAATCACCCCTGAACCCTGAAACCTCCTACATACTAAATTTCATGAAAATCGTTGGGGCCGTTTCCGAAATTCAGATATCATATATAATATATATTATATATATACAAGAATTCCTCGTTTAATGGTATTAGATTTTGTCCAAACTAAAGGAGTATATTCTTTGTGGTGACAGATTAAGAATATAAAGAGTTACCACCCTGTTCCTTCAAACTAAACATGGCAACAGGACAGGAAAGAGAAGAAAAATTTAAAACAAACACTATATCAACCCGTCTGGCCAGTGTGGTATAGTAGGCCAAAACCTCCTTTCTAAGGAGAGGCCTATGTCCAGCAGTGGACAATTAAAGGCTGTTGATGATGATGAATAAATTAAAGAAATGTCTACCGCAAATTACTTGTGGCTTTTGGGTTGCTAGTGTCCATGGATGGCAGTAGTTACTTATTGTCAAATGATTCAACTGCTTGTTTGCCTTCTTCTGTTTATTTTTTGACCAAAAACCGCACGCCGTCTCCAGATACCTGTAGCCGGGGAACCAGGTATACCCTAGAAAGGGAAGCCCTGGTAGTCCAGGTTCGGGTGGTTTGGGGACAGAAAGGGAACCCCAAAGTTCCCTTTCCCCCCCCCCCCCTATAAAAAAATCCAATAAGACAAACAAATGTGTTTTTAATTACATATTATGGGTAACATATACAAACACTAGCTTCTTTGCGTGGCTCCGCTCACATGTATGTTTATCGAGGTAAAAAATAGCCTATGTCCTTCTTCAAGAATCAAACTATGTCCATGTCAAATTTCATCTAAATTGGTTCAGTGGTTTAAGTGTGAAGAGGTAACAGACAGATAGACACACTTTTGCATTTATAATATTAGTGTGGATTCGACAAAAATATGATATCTGGAAGAGCAAATATAAATTTGGCACTTACAATATGTAGTTCTAAATGTCCAGATATTGTTGTGCAGTTGCCGTAGGTAAAGGAACTCCTACCCACTGGCCAGATGGCTTGGTATAGGATTTGTTTCAAGTTATACTGCACTTTTCATTGCTGTTTTTGTTTGCTCCCTTAGTTGACTGTTACAACACCCAGGGATGAAGGTGGCGACACTCTGTATTCTTAATCCGTCACCATGTTTCTCATGTGTGTTCTCATGTTTCTTCAACCGGATGTTTCTCATTATGACTTTTAAACGTGAAACCTGGTTTTATAAGTTTTTTTTATTTAGAGTAACCTGTAATTAGGAGGTTACTCGTCCTCTTGCACTGTTCCATTAGTAGTGTTTTTTTTTTATGTAATAGGGGTAAATAAGCAAGAAGGTCATCTAAGTGGTAAGTGACAATGGCCCCCCCATGGACACCTGCAACTACAAGAGATACAAGTGCATTGAAACCCTTCCCCCCATCATTCCAGTAGTTAATTATTGAAAATTATAACTTTAGACATCTTGGAAAAACCTTACATAGTATCATTTATTACATGATTACTCTTACTTACTTACTCTTACAAAAGTATCCATGGTATGTGCTGTTTCTAAGAGCATACTATATTTATATTAGCACTACTAATAAGAAGTATTTAAAATTAAATATCTTACTAATGGTAAACATGAGCTTTATTGCATTGAAACATAATTTCAAAACAGATTACATATTTTGTGTAAATGGTATTTGCATACAGTTACAAGACTCTTCGTACCACAATTAGTATCAATTGCTATGCCATACAGTTGGCTCATTTGCTATGCAGACAGCAACGGTCCCTTGAATGCAAAGTATTAAACGCAAATTTTATTGTCAGTACGTAACCTTCTTTCATTCCCTCCTCGGGGTATTCAAAATATGCATGTTTATGTACTTTATCATATTGTAATTTACCCATGATGTAAACTAGTCAGTTTTTGGTGAAAAATATTTGCTTTAATTTTTTTTCTCCTATGAGTTTGCATTATATTACTCGTATAATACTCCTATATATGTTATTTATTAGGTATTATTAATTTTTTATCTTCTGTGTGTGTGTGTGTGTCTTACTTAATAATAATCGTAAAATATCTAACTCAGCATATTTCACTTTAAAACAAAATTATGTTCCTTGGCTCATCTCTAGTAAGTATAGTACAAGCTCTGCAGATTTATAGTCCAGTCTGGGCTAAAAGCATAAGACAAAAATAAGTTAGGTATATAAATGCCTATATGCTAGGAAATTATCAAATGAATGTTAGTGGCATTGCCTCTTAACTAAAATAATAAAATAAGACTGAAGTGTATTTTTTTATTAAATTTATTCAAGTATATCTATCTTATATAATTTCGTTCTGAAATTCTCCTGCAATCTACTGCAACAATAATTGAGCTTTAGTGTCGACCTGGCTCTGGTTACTCGTAATTTATTTAAGGAAGTAGGAAACTCCTCATGCGAAATTGGCATAATAACATCACAACATAAATAATGATATACTAAAAACCAGACAATAACTCGGAATGGATAAACTTACTTATATTATAAATGTGAAAGTGAGTTTGTTTGTTACGTTCTTACGCCTAAAACCACTAAGCCACTAAACCGATTTTAAAAATTCTTTCACCATTATTACTGAGTGACATTGTACTTTTTGCCTCGATAACACAACACGCGCGTGTATGTCGGTTATCGTTTCTAGCTTCGCTTCTAGCTAGGTCGGTAACTAGCTTTTGCTAGTTATAAATAAGTACATACGTATAACGTTTTACTTATGGAAAACCTAACTAAAGTATCCATGCTGGAGCCAGCCATTGTAGAACAGGATACATTATAAAACAAAATTCATGATTAAAGCATAAAATATGTTAAAGCATTGTTCTCAAAAAGCAGCCACATTTCGATTCACCACTTGTCAAAACAAACAGAGCTGTAATACCCACATTTTCTTAGTCATAAAATCAAAACCTCTTCTATACTGCGCATCACTATCATTTGGTTACGCAACAGGCGATTTTGTTCACATACGAATTGGTATTCGTATCTCGTACAGAGTCGCCTTGACATCTTTGAGTTACACCACTAGAGGTATAAGTATGATTTTGAGTACCGAAATAGGTTGCTTATTTGTTACTCAACCTCGTGGGTATAGTTATATACCAGCTGACCAGGGCAATTTTTTCTGTGTCACTGAAAAGAAATAAATCTTGACAGTATTTACGAATTTTTTTCATTGATGCTATTGGTCGTGGCATTATAGGCATTCCAACACTAAAAGAATTTTTCAATTCAAATAACAACGGGTAACAAACTCTTTAGCTGTATAATATTACAATATATGTATATAATATACATTGTATCTTAATTCCTATAACACTTTAACATTACTATGTAGATTCTCAAGAAGGTACTTCACCAACGTCGATTTGAAGATTTATCTTGAATGAGAGATATTACAAGTGTTAGAAATCTCTTCTGGGAGGCTGTTAAAAATTACTGGCACTAAATATTTACTAGACCTTTGCCCATAGTACTCGTAGTTGTTACAAAGGAGTACTTCAAATTTCCGCTTACCTATCATTTAAGAATTTTCTATTTACAGTTATTTGGAGTTAGTTATATGCATAAAGTTATTTGCGGTTTAAGTTTAATAATAGAATGTTTAGTAAAGGTCTAAAATCAGCAGTGGAATTCCTATGCCTACAATAGGATAGGATGATTATGGCATATTCCAATAAAGAGGATGTTGGATTAAGGCCTGGTTCACGATTCTTTTTCCTGTCATTCTTCTAAGCACTGCATGCTTCCAAGGTTCCAGAGAATATCAGTTTTTCTTTCACAAGCTAAAGGAAACGTAACGTTATCGCCATATTCTACCTATCGATAGATGCC